CTGACTGCACCTCGGCCGGGCGCAGCCTCCTCCCGATGGACAGGAGGGCATCGCGATTCCCTTCTCCCGCAGGGATTTGGGATGGGGGAAAGGGAGGGCTGGAAATGGGGGAGGTGAGACCAATTCAGGGGGAAACTGCGCTACTTGGCTGAGCCCCTTCCTGCTTTGCTTCTTATCTCTGCAGCCGTGGCTGGGCAGGGAGGGAGGGAGAGCCAGGAAAAAGGACGTGATCGCATCAGGAGCCGCTCTCATGCGCGCAGCCACTTGGAGCTGTTTTCCTCAGCCTCTCCTCACACTGCCCCTCTCAGAGCTGTTGAATGTCGGTACCATAAAATGTGGGGATTATAAAGGTCTCTTGATACTCAGACTGACAACTCCATATAACAAATAACAGAGTATGAGAATGCTGAGCACAGGTATTAATTATGAGGCATAAAATAATAATAATAATAAAGTAATTCGGCAGACAGTCTTGGGGGCTATGCTGACACAAGGAGAGCCAACTTCACCTCCCTGTTTTGTTTTGCTCTGACAGGGACGGAGGCTTCTCCCATGTGGGGAAATTCCTGAGGATGGTGGGCATAAGTGGCATGAATAAATGAGGTCAGGGGAGGAAGGACAGGGCACCCGTGGGAGCCAACCTGCAGCCAGCCCACCCGAGCACCAGCAGGCAGAGAAAGCCCGTTTGAAAAATAAATGTTCCGTGAGAAACATAAGGAAAACATTAAGCAAGCAGGGAGTGCACTCACTCTCCTCACCCTGACAAAGCGCGGTTGGGAAACACCACTCGCTGCGTCGGACTCCAGTCCCTTCCCAACCCGGGCGCAATGCGGATATGTGGGCTGGACACAGCAGGGGCAGAGGGTCCGTTGTGGGCAGAGAGGCAGAGCCACAGAGTAGGGGGCAAACACGAGCTGGCCGTGACTCTGGGCGATATGTGAGGAGAGGACTCCCCCTAAGCCTCCCCAGAACAGCTCCGTCCATGCAGGCACCCCCGCAGCACCGCCAAACAGAGCCCACCAACAGCTACTGCGGCCCCGTGCTAAAAGCAGCAGATTTATCCTGCTGGAACGTGCGGAAGGAGCCCGATGCGGAGTGGAGAGAGGGCGCACGGTGTTGTGTTTGTGTCGCTCATCACGATGAGATATCGGTGGCAAAGTTCACGCTGACATCAGTCCTTGTGAGGCAGCGGCCGTGGCAGGGCCGAGGCCGCGAGGCCGCACAGCTGCGCGCGGGGCCTGCAGCCCGCGTGGGGACGCGCAAACCCCGCTCCTGCCGGGCGCCAGGAGGGCCCGAGAGCCGCTGGTCGTGTTTCCTTGCAACTGAAGCCAGTGGATCAGAAACGGCTCCCAGGGTGTTATTGTGCATGGCTCTACTTTTGATTTTATTAAAGAGGGTGGGGGGAAAGAGCGGTGGTCCATATAGCATCCGGCAAGCCGAGGATTTTGGGGCCCTCTGTCATTAAAACCAGCAGCAGGAGACTCTTAAATCAGCTGGGCGTTGTTCTTAAAATCAAAAAAAAAAAAAAAAAAAAGAAACCAGGCCTGCAAATCACAGAGGAGTAGTGTGCGATGGTTTCAGTGCCACAGCTCCTGCCGAGTAATTTTTTTTTCTATGCAACTTTCCCTAGTGAAAAAATACTGATTTCTCTTTTCAGAATAACTATTATATTGGGGGTGCGGGGGAAGGTAGGTGGGATTAAGATGCACAGATTATATCCAAAATAAGGCTTAAAGTTAACAATATTCAATTAACAGCTGATAGTAAGCTTGTTTAAAATGGCACTCCAGTTATAAAAACTAACCATGTGAACAGGGCAGCTGAATACTAACCCTTTGTCATTCTTCTCTAGACTGGAAATAGTTTGTGTAAGTGAACAAAAGAGTCATTAATTTGCCTTTTCAACTTGGGAAACATGGTAAAAGAAGTAAAGGCCTTGGATTACTCCTGATACATAACTTGAAAATGGAAAGAAACATCTAGTGTCAAATACATTTTCCTCATTTTTTAGGTGCCATTCGTGGTGTAGATGGCATCGATGGGACACCCACTGCTGAGGGGTTCTCCCTGTCCGCATCCCCACTGGTCTGGGTCAGCAGCGCCTGCTGGTGTGCGAAGGGCTGGACGACTGCAGCAGGCATCCCGAGCAAGCATTGCACAATCCCACACATCTCCTGTTTGCTAAATGCTAACAGTGTTCTTGGCACTATGCAGGACCCCAAGTCAGGACAGTCTTTGTCCCAGATTTTTTTCTGCACAAGCTAAAAGAGGCAGGCAAAGAGTAGGCAAGACATGCAGAGAGGTACACATGAAGATGGAATAACCCAAGTTGCACATATGCATAAATATATGCATAAATATATGTTTGCATGTGTCTGTATACCGACTCCCATATTCCTAAATCTGACAGTTGTTTCACTTCTGTTTCCTAACACGGTTCGCTTGTTCTTTAGTCACATTCAATTTAGGAGGTTAATCTTCCCTTAATCTTAACATGGGGAGCATTCTCAAAAGCTGTTAATATCACAAACAGAGGATTATGACTGCATAGTCTAAATAAACCAAAATATATGAGTGATGAGAAATGCTTTACTCACAGTAAGTTGAAACTATGAGAATTTGTCTGCCTTTTTTTTTAAATAAACTGATTCCTAAAGATCTTTAATAATGCCCTTATACTCTAGATATTTAAAAGATGTGATGGCAGGATGTTAATAAAACATGCAGTGGAGAACAATCCTACATTGGCAACAAATAGACTGGATGACCTAATTGGTTTTTCCCATCTCTGACTTGGGCAATTCTGTCATTGTAATAAAATCTCACTGTAATCAAAGAAAATTTTGCCTTTGTCAAGTGTGCAGGACTGGGGCCTAAATCAGCATGTCAGTCTGGACTATCCCCTCAGCCTGGGCCAAGTCTAAAGGCTGCTGCTGTCAACTTGACCCATCATCAGTCTGAGAGAGGTTTGGGTCTGAGCTTCTGCATAGTAGTGGAAGGGAGCTGACTTGTTTTATTATACATAGGAAAAAAAAAGTTAAAAAAGCATATTTGTGGGAAAAAAAATCTGCAATTCAAACATTCCAGATGCAGTTCAGTTAATAAAGTCCAAGAGGAAGGCCTCAAAATGAAACTGAGAAAGTTTTGACACAGAGGAAATGTTAGCAGTTAGTAGGAGGACAGTCAAACC